CAATACTGGTTCACTATTGTTCTGTACATTTAAACCACTAGAGTAGGACCGGTCTTTATCTATTTTTTGACAGGGGGTGAACTCGTTTTCAACTAGTCCTGGACCAGACTTTTGGGGGGGACCGGACCGGACCGAATCAGACGCACCACTTAACATCCCTACTTTTAACAGCCCTAGCTTAATCGACTAAGCCATTAAACGTCCTCCACTACGCTCCGGCAGGGTGGCGCCTCAACTAATTAAATCAAAACAGATCATTAATTTCGGGTTTTTTAGAAGCCGTATATTTAAATATTAAATTAGATTTACATTTTTAGCACAAGTATCTAACAAAAGTATATATAATATTTTTTTAACTAGAAACTCTCAACTAGCTAGCTCTACATGGTAGTAGAGCTATTTTTTTAAAAAAATTTCGTATAAATCGTCGAAAAATTGATTTTATGAGTTGAGGTGCCACACTAACTCCGGGCAATTAGTTTTTAGTAATACGTTTAAAGAGCAAAATAAATTTCTAGTAATATGTTAAAGTCCGAAACAAATCAACTTTTAGTAATATGTTAATAAATTATTAGTTGTATATAAATCAAATGGCATTATAAAGTTTAAGAAAATGTATTATATAAAACAAAAAAAATGTTCATCGAGTTGGGTAAGTGTCGAGATATCTTTGGTTTAAAGTTTTTTTAAAAAAAATTCGTACGTTTATCAAATAGAAGTGCGTTTTCAAACTTTGATCGAAGATATCTCGACCCATCTGACCAAATTCGATGAACTTTTTTTATTCGGATTCTGTTGATTTCCACAATTAAATTAAAAAAAGTTCATCGAATTCGGCTAGGTGAGTGTCGAGATATCTTCGATTAGTTTTGTAAAAAATTTGAACGTTTATCAAATGAAGTGCATGTTCAAACTTTGATCGAAAATCTCGATATCACCTAATAGATTTGATACCGTTTTTTTTATTCAAATTCTACTAATGTCTACAAGTAAAACAAAAAAAAGTTCATTGAATTTGGCCAAGTGGATGTTTAGATATCTTCTGAAAGGACATTAGGTTCCCAGATTCCCGTCCCGTATGGTGTGATACAAATTTGATGATCACACTAATTTAATAACACTAATTTTTACTAACCATGAAAAACTTTTGAAACTGTAAGCATTCGATTACATTACAATAAACAAATTATTGTGCTTTCCCAAATTATTTTAATCATCTGACGATGATAGAACTTCTGTAAATTCGATTTGTTTTTTTTTTTTTTTATGAATTCTCAAAATAAAAATTCCAAAGATATACATAATTTTATAATTTTATACTGTAACGTAACATTTATCTGTATATTGGATTATGTAGTTAATTTGTTGACTAGATTTGCTTAGATTTGCTTAGATTTTTACAAACTTTAGCCGAAAGTACAGTATCTCACTATGTCCTGATCATTTTTGATATTTGAAGCTTTTTTGAAATTGACTAGACTAATATTAGGAAATTTCGCTCACAAAATTTGAAAAAAAATATATTCACTATCAGAATTAGGACAATATTAGCGTTTGAGCTGGGTAAAAAATTTAACTGATAATTTATGATAAATTACAGGCTTGTGTTATAACATTAAATTCTAAATTCCTGATTTCAGATTTCTAATGAGTATAACGTGTGAAATTTGATGGTAACAGTAATTTGAAAAGAGCAATAAAGGTAACAGACAAATTTTTTTGTGCTATGAAGATAATCTGATTGATACAATAAAAAAATGGAAGAAAGAAGCAAAGATAAAATAAATATGAGTAATATGCCAAAGATCTCTAAAAGATGTTGAATAATCAACAAGGATGAGATTCAGAACAAAAATATAATCAACAAGATATAACTAAACCCAAAAAGAAGGCATTCAATTTGCTAAAATATTCATAAGAATCATACAATTTAATAAAATAATTTTAAAATTATGAATCGGAACATCAACTGTGTCAATAGTTTTGCTAATATAAGATTTAAGTTGGCTGTCATTATATCTGCTAATGTTTAATTCTGATAATTTACGCGTAATCTCTCTTGTGTTTATTGATTTGCTGGTATAAGTGGGATCTGAATGACGTTCCTCATCATCTTCTTCTTCATAGATAATTTTTGGTTCGATTATTTTTGCATCAATGTTGTTTTCATCTATGATATCTGTGAAATGGTTATTATTTTCATCTGCAATATCGTAAAACCATTGTTTAGTTTTTTCATAAATTTTACTAGCAGTAGGTCGTTTTTCTGGATCCGAATTCATGCATTGTTCGGCCAATTCGACATAGCATTTGGGAGTTCCCTCTGCAAATTTTGGTCTCAAACCGTAACAAATCTTTATTGCAAAATTAGTATCAAATAGTTCACCATTGAAAGCCTTTTGACCAGTTGTTATTTCAGTCATAATGACACCGAAACTATAGATGTCAGTTGCCTGTGTGAAAGGCTGACCTTGTAAAACTTCAGGTGCTACATAAGGCATGACACCGAAAGATTCACCTTGTTTCTTATCGAAAGATATAGAAAAACCTAAATCGGCTATATATGCGCTTTCTATAGAATCTTGTAAAATATTACCACTATGTAAATCTCGATGAATAAGTCCTTGAGAATGTACAATTTCAAGATCTGAGGAAATGCATTGCAACAAATTTATTTTATCCTTCCATTTCTTTTGTTTTACGTAGTGTAAATTTCTACTTAAAGAACCATATCTTGCAAGTTTCAAAACAATGATATAATCTTTGGATTCTTCTTCTTGCGATATTCCATAACATTTTAAAAACGATGGATTTTCATATCCAATATCACAATACGCCTTAAGCTTTAATATTAAGAAAGTTAGCTTGATTTATATAAAAAGAAAAAAAAAAAATAATCATATACGTAAAAATAAATTACCTCGCTAATAAATTCTTTAAGACAAACATTTGATTTATGAACTTTTTTAAGTGCAACTGCTAATCATCCTACATGATGATGATCGTATACTAAACCAGAGGAATACCAAAAGGCATCATATACAGTTACAAATCCACCTTTTCCAATTTCACGAACACTATGAAATCTTTCATATGGAATCCAAAGTAATTGATATGTTGCATCATTTAATATATTGTTTAACTCATCATTTATTTTGTAATTAATATTTTTCTCTTTATTATACTTTCTACCATAATCAAAATGTTTACTTCTTTCCCTGTTAAAAATTCAAATCATAATAAAAAAAAATAAATAAAAATTAAATGAAAATTTAAATGAAAATTAACGAAAAAAATATTTACATTCGAAACCAATAATTACTCCAATTCCATTACGATAACAATGACCAAGATTACGTATACCTCCAATATCATTATTCTCTGCTGATTTTTGATAACATTCAAATGCTTTTTTTTCATCTCTTAATGTTCCAATTCCGTTTAGATAACAATAACCAAGGTAATACATTCCCCGGTAAGGATCCAATTCAGCAAGTCTTTGATAGCATTCAAATGCTTTTTTATTATCCTTACTAATATATTGATATCCTTTTAAAAATAACTCGTTGGTTAAATCTGATTTCAAATAATATTCATACGCTTTTTGTTCATCTTTTTCGATTCCAATTCCATTTTCATAACAATGACCAACCTTTCCTGCTCCTTCAACATGACCCATCTCAGCAGATTTTAAATAATATTCAAAAGCTTTTTCATAATTCTTTTCATCATGATATTTTTCTCCTTGTTTAAACAATAGATTAGCCTCATCCATATTGATAAAGTTCAAGAAAGAGATTCATATAATTCGAAAAGCATTGCACGCACGTAGTGTTGTAAGCCGATTAGAGGCTAGTAGGCTTAGTCGACTTAGCCGACCCCTGATCGACTAAGTTAACCAATTCGACTTAGTCAACAAACTAAAAATTTATTGGTCGAAGTTCGACTATTGTCTTTTTAAGATTTTTATTGGGCAGCTTTGCTTATTGTTT